GCGCTAACCGCTGCATAAACGAATGCACGCATTGAATTCGCTACTGCACTTATGCCTCCGACACACCAGCGCGACGAACACTTAGAACCTTAGAACATATACACATGGAACACTCATTGCCTATACCGCCAATGCATTGGGCTGAAGCCAAGATAGGTGCGAGAGAGAAAGGTATAGAAGACCTAGGCTGTGGTCCGATTCATGCTGACAACGCTCATGAGCATCGTTTGTCTTCGTTTAACATTTAACAAACAACAAGGATGAAATGATTTTTAAGCATTGTGAACGTGAATCGGACCGCGGTCCTAAATTCGCAATGCGCATGTTCAGTTCCGTCATTCCGTTCGTCAATCCATTGGAACGAATGGAACAACGTAATAGATGGAATCACCTGACGAAATTGAGCATGCGCATTGCGAATTTTAGGTCTTCTATACCTTTCTCTCTCACACCTATCTTGGCTTCAGCCTGAGCGTCCTATTATCATTCCATGTGTATATGTTCTAAGCTTAGAACATATAAATGGAACGGGCATTGCCTATACTTCCCATGGCTCGCGCTGATGCGAACGTCTGTGCGAGAGAGAAAGGTAGTAAGGGCTAAAGCCCATGGGTGCATTCAGCAGAAAAGAGCGCTACTAGATCGCTCACAGAGGGAGCGCTTAATTTCTCTGAATGCTCTGCTACAACGTAACCTAACGTAACCTACCTACTTTCGTCTGGATAGTACCTACTTATGTTTACAAAAATCGTGAAAACGTATTTAACATTGGGTGCATTGATTTGTTAATATTAATTATCAAAAAAATTAATAATGAATAACGTAATTTTTCAATTTATGATCGATGATGGACTTGACATAAATATAATGAATAATATTCTCGGTCTTGTTGTACCATTGCCAGAAATCGAAATATTGCTAGGTAGACTACGTCAGGAAAAAAAATCGCGAAATGAAGAATATTTTGAAATAACTATTCCGTCCTATACGGATATTCAATTTAAAGAACATTTTAGAATGTCTCGAATTATTTTTGAGGTATGTATGTTCATGTGATATACATGTGATAAGTAGCGATGAGTTCTATTGAAGTAGCAACAAATATTTCCGCTCAATAAGATGGCGTCCGCTCCCACAACATGTTGAGAGAGCGATGCGAAAAGTGCGCCATTCAGCGGATAGTTCCGTAGCGCTCTTTTCTGCTGAATGCACCCCATGACACTAATGTAGAACCGGCTTAAAGCGGGGTCTACATAGAAGTCGTAGATGGTCGTGGAATCTTGAGTCGTAGGAAACCAACCAATCACAATCAAATATAAGGAGAATACTCGATTGGAATTGGTCAGTTTCCTACGCCTTAGGGTGCCGTCACATGCAGCGTAACCTGCGTAAGCGTAACCTCCGTATTCTAGTAATTTACTAGAAAGGCCCGTCTACAATACACGGAGTAAGAAGTAAGAGTAAGAAATTGACCAATCACAGTCGATTATTCTTCTCACATTCGACTGTGATTGGTCAATTTCTTA